TACTGGAAGAACATATGGGAGAAAGAGAAGACACATAACACCAGTGCAAAGTGGCTGCAGGTCCTGAGAGCAGATCACAGCAATCTCCCAAAATAGGAACCAGTCAGTATCACAGATATCTAACAGCAAGTCAAGAACATGAAGAGCTGGACAGCACCTGGCCCAGACATGATCCACATCTTCTGGCCAAAGAAATTAACAGCAGTGCATGAACACCTAGCAGCACAGATGAACCAGCTGCTAGCAGCAGGCTCCCACTTAGACTGGCTAACACAAGGAAGGACAGTGTGGATCATGAAAGACCCCCGCAAGAGAGCAGCACCATCCAACTACCAGCCAATAATCTGCCTCCCCACAGCATGGAAAGTCCTATCAGGCATCATAGCTGCCAAGCTAGCTACAGGAACATATGGGCCAGTACTTGATCACAGTTCAGAAGGGCATTGGGAACAACACCAGTGGCTCAAAACACCAGTTGTTCAGAGCTAGAGCAGTCACCCAAGACTCAAGGTCTAGACAGATCAATCTGAGCACAGCCTGGATTGGCTACAGGAAAGCCTACAACTCAATGCCACGGACATGGATCTGTAAATGCCTAGCACTATACAAAGTCAACAGGACACTAAGGACTTTTCTCAAGAACTCAATGGGACTGTGGAAGACAACACTAGAAGTCAACTCAAGACAGCTCGCACAAGTGGTCATCAAGTGCAATATATATCAATGATGCACTGTGATGCACTGTCCCCACTGCTGTTCTCCATAGGCTTGAACTCCCTCAGCCAGATAATCACAAGAACTGGATATGGGTACAAGTTCAAGAGTGCAAATACCATCAGTCATTTCCTCTACATGGATGACATCAAGCTGTAGGCTAAGAGTGAATGAGACATCGACACGTTGATCCATCTGACACAGATCTACAGTGAGGACATTGGGATGTCATTCGGACTGGAGAAGTGTGGCCAGATGGTGGTAAAGAGAGGGAAAGTAGTTAAGACTGATACGGTAGAACTACCAGTGGGCCACATAGTGGACATACAAACCAGCTACAAGTACCTTGGTATCCCACAATCTCATGGGAACCAGAATGAGGAAGTAAGAAAGATACCAACATCCAAGTACCATCAAAGGATGAGACAGGTCCTGAAGAGCCAACTCAATGGGAAGAACAAGATCGATGCCATCAACACATATGCCCTGCTAGCCATCAGATAACCTGCTGGTATAGTGAGCTGGTCAAAGGAGGACATGGAGGCTGCCAATGTGAAGACCCAGAACCTCCTTACAACGTACAGAGATTTCCATCCCAAGTCCAACACCCAGAGACTATACACCAGATGGAAATAGGGCAGGCAGGATCTGGCGAACATCAAAGCCACTGTCCTGGATGAAACCCAGAACTTCCAGGAGTACATCATCAAGGTGACACCCAAAGATGAACTGCTGAGAGAATGCCTGAGGCAGCAGCAGACATGGGAGGAAGTTCAAGCAGAGGAAGTGCCACAGCAAGA